CACTAATGTTCACTATGACGAACACACACTTCCACTAATGTTCACTATGACGAACACACACTTCCACTAATGTTCACTATGACGAACACACACTTCCACTAATGTTCACTATGACGAACACACACTTCCAGTAATGTTCACTATGACGAACACACACTTCCACTAATGTTCACTATGACGAACACACACTTCCAGTAATGTTCAGCATGACGAACACACACTTCCAGTAATGTTCACTTTGACGAACACACACTTCCAGTAATGTTCACTATGACGAACACACACTTCCAGTAATGTTCACTATGACGAACACACTTCCAGTAATGTTCACTATGACGAACACACACTTCCAGTAATGTTCACTATGACGAACACACACTTCCAGTAATGTTCACTATGACGAACACACACTTCCAGTAATGTTCACTATGACGAACACACACTTCCAGTAATGTTCAGCATGGCGAACACACACTTCCAGTAATGTTCACTATGACGAACACACACTTCCAGTAATGTTCACTATGACGAACACACACTTCCAGTAATGTTCACTATGACGAACACACACTTCCACTAATGTTCACTATGACGAACACACTTCCAGTAATGTTCACTATGACGAACACACACTTCCACTAATGTTCACTATGACGAACACACACTTCCAGTAATGTTCACTATGACGAACACACACTTCCAGTAATGTTCACTATGACGAACACACACTTCCAGTAATGTTCACTATGACGAACACACACTTCCAGTAATGTTCACTATGACGAACACACACTTCCAGTAATGTTCACTATGACGAACACACACTTCCAGTAATGTTCACTATGACGAACACACACTTCCAGTAATGTTCACTATGACGAACACACACTTCCAGTAATGTTCACTATGACGAACACACACTTCCAGTAATGTTCACTATGACGAACACACACTTCCACTAATGTTCACTATGACGAACACACACTTCCAGTAATGTTCACTATGACGAACACACACTTCCAGTAATGTTCACTATGACGAACACACACTTCCAGTAATGTTCACTATGAGGAACACACACTTCCACTAAAGTTCACTATGACGAACACACACTTCCACTAATGTTCACTATGACGAACACACACTTCCAGTAATGTTCACTATGACGAACACACACTTCCAGTAATGTTCACTATGACGAACACACACTTCCACTAATGTTCACTATGAGGAACACACACTTCCAGTAATGTTCACTATGACGAACACACACTTCCACTAATGTTCACTATGACGAACACACACTTCCACTAATGTTCACTATGACGAACACACACTTCCAGTAATGTTCACTATGACGAACACACACTTCCACTAATGTTCACTATGACGAACACACACTTCCAGTAATGTTCACTATGACGAACACACACTTCCAGTAATGTTCACTATGACGAACACACACTTCCAGTAATATTCAGCATTACGAACACACACTTCCAGTAATGTTCACTATGACGAACACACACTTCCACTAATGTTCACTATGACGAACACACACTTCCAGTAATGTTCACTATGACGAACACACACTTCCAGTAATGTTCACTATGACGAACACACACTTCCAGTAATGTTCACTATGACGAACACACACTTCCAGTAATATTCAGCATTACGAACACACACTTCCAGTAATGTTCACTATGACGAACACACACTTCCACTAATGTTCACTATGACGAACACACACTTCCAGTAATGTTCACTATGACGAACACACACTTCCACTAATGTTCACTATGACGAACACACACTTCCAGTAATGTTCACTATGACGAACACACACTTCCACTAATGTTCACTATGACGAACACACACTTCCAGTAATGTTCACTATGACGAACACACACTTCCAGTAATGTTCACTATGACGAACACACACTTCCAGTAATATTCAGCATTACGAACACACACTTCCAGTAATGTTCACTATGACGAACACACACTTCCACTAATGTTCACTATGACGAACACACACTTCCAGTAATGTTCACTATGACGAACACACACTTCCAGTAATGTTCACTATGACGAACACACACTTCCAGTAATATTCAGCATTACGAACACACACTTCCACTAAAGTTCACTATGACGAACACACACTTCCACTAATGTTCACTATGACGAACACACACTTCCAGTAATGTTCACTATGACGAACACACACTTCCAGTAATGTTCACTATGACGAACACACACTTCCAGTAATGTTCACTATGACGAACACACACTTCCAGTAATGTTCACTATGACGAACACACACTTCCACTAATGTTCACTATGACGAACACACACTTCCAGTAATGTTCACTATGACGAACACACACTTCCAGTAATGTTCACTATGACGAACACACACTTCCAGTAATGTTCACTATGACGAACACACACTTCCAGTAATGTTCACTATGACGAACACACACTTCCAGTAATGTTCACTATGACGAACACACACTTCCAGTAATGTTCACTATGACTAGGGCTGGGCGGTATGACGGTATATATCGTTACCGCGGTAGAAAATGTCAACCGTAACAGATTTTTTTATTCCGTGTATACCGCGACATGCAAATAAGTGGGCGTGGTTAACTCGCGTGCAACGTGCGTGAGACTGAAACACTGAGAATTGTAAAAAGAAACACGGAGAAAGCAGATCAAGATGATCCACAAAGGAATTACATTTTCTAAAGGGTTGTTGTTGTTGTTAATGTGATATTTTCGGGGGGGAAAGGCGCAGCAGTCACTAGAGCAGTGCAGCACCCAGGCTACAGAGGAGTGCACGCTCGCAACGGGGAAAGCTGGACAACAACAGTTATCAATATCGTAACGAATAGAAATAACCTTAAATAATGTAGTTATCTGCATCTTTCCGTCTCTTATGTATAGTTTTTAAACACCCAAACAGTTTGCCGCCCGTGGTAATGTGCAACCTGCTTGTTAAAGTGAATGTATAATCCTGTAGCCTATCTGAGGCAAAATTACTAAATATGCATCGCGAGTTATATATTTCTAAATCCAAACAATTGGCCACTGAACCAGCTGATAAAATCTTCCTTTGATTCGATACGTGATTACAACTTGACACTCAAATTAACCGATCGCATTTACTGATGCAGAAGACGCGCGCGTGCACGCGCACTGAGGGAGCGCGGTGTTCACCGGACTATGGTCAAATAATGACGCAGTTACAAGGTGTGTATAATTTAAACTAGGCTACTTAGTCAACACTAACAGAAGCTGCTGTTCGGTTTTCAAACTGCTGCTCTCCTGCTAGTCACTTCTGAACTTCTATTGATTAAAGCTCAGGGTGACGGGTTGCCAGATATCACAAAAAGAGCAAAACAAGCCGCTTAAAAACGCAGTGTAGCCTGAAGCAGACATGGCACAAATGTACCGGGGAACACATTTAAACATAACTAGTATTACTATCCTACAAAATTAAAAGGAAATAACTAATTTATCATGAATAGAATAGTTCAATATAAAATATTCAGATATTATAAACTGATTGATGAAGTAAAGCATAACATGAGATTGAAAAATTATTCAGAAACACTTTATTTAAAGTTTAATTGCACCTATGAGTTGTATTTAATATCAATCAGTTGGGGTAAAAAAAGTTGATGAGTGTGTTTTCTTTATATTTAGCTATCTAAATAGTTTACCAATAAAATAATTTACCAAATGAGAAACAGAAAACAATGTGAAGTAGGCCTACTTTTCATTTCATTTCTAAAGTATTTGGGTTTATTTATTATACAAAGCCCTTTTTGTCGATATTTCGAGAATAACTACATATATAAATAACTATATCGTGAAATATATCGTTACCGTGAAATAAAATTAGTCATACCGTGAAATAGAATTTTGGTCATACCGCCCACCCCTAACTATGACGAACACACACTTCCACTAATGTTCACTATGACGAACACACACTTCCAGTAATGTTCACTACGACGAACACACACTTCCAGTAATGTTCACTATGACGAACACACACTTCCAGTAATGTTCACTATGACGAACACACACTTCCAGTAATGTTCACTATGACGAACACACACTTCCACTAATGTTCACTACGACGAACACACACTTCCAGTAATGTTCACTATGACGAACACACACTTCCAGTAATGTTCACTATGACGAACACACACTTCCAGTAATGTTCACTACGACGAACACACACTTCCAGTAATGTTCACTATGACGAACACACACTTCCACTAATGTTCACTATGACGAACACACACTTCCACTAATGTTCACTACGACGAACACACACTTCCAGTAATGTTCACTATGACGAACACACACTTCCAGTAATGTTCACTATGACGAACACACACTTCCAGTAATGTTCACTATGACGAACACACACTTCCAGTAATGTTCACTATGACGAACACACACTTCCAGTAATGTTCACTACGACGAACACACACTTCCAGTAATGTTCACTATGACGAACACACACTTCCAGTAATGTTCACTATGACGAACACACACTTCCAGTAATGTTCACTATGACGAACACACACTTCCACTAATGTTCACTACGACGAACACACACTTCCAGTAATGTTCACTATGACGAACACACACTTCCAGTAATGTTCACTATGACGAACACACACTTCCAGTAATGTTCACTATGACGAACACACACTTCCACTAATGTTCACTACGACGAACACACACTTCCAGTAATGTTCACTATGACGAACACACACTTCCAGTAATGTTCACTATGACGAACACACACTTCCAGTAATGTTCACTATGACGAACACACACTTCCAGTAATGTTCACTATGACGAACACACACTTCCATTAATGTTCACTATGACGAACACACACTTCCAGTAATGTTCAGCATGGCGAGTCTGATGAGGGACCGCACAGGTCCAGTGTTGAGGGTGTGTACCTTGACGGCAGCGTCGCGCTCCTCGAAGTGAACGAAGGCGTAGTCCTTCAGCTTCTTCACGCGCTCCAGTTTCCCGAACTGGGAGAAGGTCTTCTCCAGCAGCTCCTCGGTCACCGGCGTGGCCAGCTTACGCACGAACAACACCTTCACCTGATGGACAGATCAGCGTTACACTAGGGGTGTGCCGGTTTCAGAATTGGTGATGACGGTTATGACGTGAGTCAAATGTGACGGTTCATAACATAACCGTCGTCGGGGGGGGGGGGGGGGTGTTGAATAACTGTTCGTCTGTTATAGGACAACTTAGTTTGAATAAACAAGCAGACACTGATTAGCTACTGGCGTTTATTTAACTTGAACAGCAAGACAACTAGAAGTGAATGTGCTTTCCATTAAATGTAGCCTATCACACAGTAAACAAATCCTTAACTAACAAAACAAACAAACGTTGCAATGAACGTGCTTTTTTTTTAATAAGTCACACACAGTAACAAAACCTTAACGAAAAAACTTTGGAATGAACTTTGCAATTTAGACGCGCAAACTGCGTGCCGGTGCGGTGAGACGTGCATGCTCGGGCAGATTCGGCTTGAAGTTGTTTATCCTCGGATGCGGCGCCACGCGCGCTGTTACAAAAAAGCCGTGCACACAGCCCATAGATATAAACACACAGCCAAGCCAAATGGGGTCTTGCGCACCGAACGCGTCATTTTTGCCGCGCGCACCTTCGCGATCGTGCGGACGCGACGAGTATAAACAAGGCTTATGGCGTTATTCCCCTATCAAATGTCGAGAGCGCATTATTGTAGCGCGAAAGTACATTAATATAATGCGCGCTCTGATCGGTAAAGGTGCACAGACCTCTCCCGAATCATCTCCAGCAGTAGCAGCCTCCGTTTCCCTCTTAAGCTGATATTAGTATTTAAACATTCTCTATGATAAAAAATGTTTGTAAAACATATTTTAATAGCACGGTTTTGGCGGTTATAGAGTTCTAATGACGGTGTTCAACTATAACCGTCGGTCTCACGGTTATATAATAACCGTCACACCCCTACGTTACACTCACCATCACACACACACTCACAGCGACACATTAGTTAATGTGAGCACAGCTGTGGGTTCCTGTGTTCTTCTGCTTGACAGAGTCTCATTCTTGAGTCTGTTTGCTGGCGATGTGTAAGCAAAACCTCCCGCCATCCAATCATCTTTGTGCTTTGATACTTTGATATGAAACAAAGTCTCAGCTTTGCAATCCTGTCAGTTTCATCAGTAAATGTGTGTTTAATGTGTGTGACGGATGAAGCGATCATCTCTTACTCTTTACTACTAGTTACAGCAGCAAATAAACATCAGAAGGAATGATGAAGATACAGAACAACTTCCTGAAGTCCATCATGTCTGTAATCCATCAGTGTTTCAACCGTCAATAAAACAGCAATAGAGCTGGTAAGTCCCGCCCCTTCCGCTTACCCCGCTGGACCTCTAGGTTGAAAAATCGTCAATGCAAGTGAATGAGAGAAAAGAATTATTTTCTAATCCCGTTTGAATTTTGCAATGAATGTGAACATGTGTTGTCTGTGAATTTTTTATATAATTTTTCGTGTAAAGAATGCTACAATTTAGCGGGTAGAATTTTCGTACGGTTAGACTTTGTGTGAGAGCACTTTGTGGACTACAACTCTTCGCTGCTTTCGACGCGTTTGATATACGTCACCATAGACATAATAAATACATAGACGCCCTATTGGCCGCTGGAGCGTACGTCAACGGCGCCGCCATGTTGGGGAGGGCAACTTTCCCATACCTCTCATACCGGGAACTGATAAAAATGCCTGTTTTGTGCGCTGTTTGGGGCTGTACACATCGCCACACAATTGAAAACAGCTTTCGAGGAATTACCTTTCACAAGCAAGAGTGAACGTTTGTTTTTGGTTGTATTTGGTCATGATTTAATTAGTAATAGTAACGTTCAGAGGATACATTTAAAAATACTACTGTTATTGTGTCACGAAATGTAGTTTAAATAGTTTTTCAGTCGACAATGTAGTTGTTTAAAGCTCAAATCTGTGGTTTGTTTATAAAGATAGCGCCTATTTAAAAATTTGATCTGACTTTTTCGGAGTTGTAAGATGCGCTCAGCGCTCGTCTACCCCGCCTGGAACAGCCGTACCTCGGCCAGTGCTTCTGACGCTCAGCGCTCGTCTACCCCGCCTGGAACAGCCGTCCCTCGGCCTGAAGTTTTGAAGTTTTCCCGCTGACTCGGATGTCTGTAGTCTAGTGGTTAAACATGAGATATCATTCGTCTTGTGTATATCTAACGGGCGATCTTTGGTCTCATTAATCTATAAATGGTTCCCTGGCAAATAGTTTTGGCTGAGGGCAAAGTGAAGTTTCATAACTTTATATTTAGGCTATTTTAACATTGTATCCTGCTGTATGTTTGACTGAAGCTACTTCTGTTATAATGGCTATTACTGATCAATAAAACTGAAATTTAACAAAAAAAGAGTTAAATATTAAAGTCACTATTTAACTTATTTTTTTATTGTGTATATTCTGTAATTGATATTTCTTATTCTATTGCTATTATTATAGTATTATTAATAAACTATGCTATTATCAATATTTTTATGATTGTATTATTGTACTTTATTGTACTATGATATTATATAATTATACTAATCATTACTATTTTATTTGCTGTATACTATTTGTTTATTTTATTGACTAAACTATTTACTATTACTTCTCACTTTATGTTATATTTACTATTTGCATTGCACTGTAGTTGTACCATAACGTATTATTATAAAGGATCCATCAGTTATCTTTGTTATTGCTAAAATCTGGTCAATCACAGAAAATGCTTTTTCCACAATAAGAAAACTTAAATTATATCTCAGTATGGGGGTCTTCACCATTCTTATCCAAGAATAAAAAGCCAGATACATGACAAGCCTGAGCTTTGACCATTCTTTATTAAAAAAAAATATTTTACAAGTCTAACTATCGAGATTTTAAATAACTAGAGATGGAACTTTTTGTACACCACATACAAACCACTGAAATCGGTTGATAAATGTAAAAACAGTTTGTTTTTATCCAGAAAAAACGCAGCTCACCCGTTTACTTACATTTGATTTCTTGCCCTCAGCAAAATGGCGGACCCGTTGACGTATCGCAGCAACGTTCCAAAGCGGCCAATAGGGCGTCTATGTATTTATTATGTCTATGTGCGTCACCACCACTAGCACACGGATCCCGCTAAACATGCCTGTGTCTTTGGTGACATTTGGGTACGAAACACACAGGCATCTCGATCTAATTCCTTAGATTATCGCACCGTGATTTGTGGAGGGAAGATGTGTTATGCGGTGACATCACATATGCGACGTGTAGTCTTTCTCGTTATGTCTATTCCACAACTGCTAGCCAAAGAATCATACAATATACTGTCAAACTCGTTACATGAGAATTTATATAAAAAATTCACAGACAACATGTGTTCACATTCATGGCACAATTCAAACGGGATCAGAAAATAATTATTTTCTCTCATTCACTTGCATTGACGCTTTTTCAACCTAGAGGTCCACTTGGAGTTTTACGGATGGGCGGGACTTACCAGCTCTATACGGTCACATCCCTAACCCATCCACTGACTCCACAACTCCAGAGGAGCGTTCTGATACATATATGCACTATATTACATATTCATTACAGATTTACTCAACCTGTTCTTCAATATTTCATGTTTGAACAAATCCATCATGAAAACAAGTTTATGACAGCCACCGTTTAAATGTTATATTTAAAAAACTAAGTAAAGTATAAGCACAATTATGTTCTAAAATGATTATTACATTATTATATTGTACTATTATAATAATAAAATAAGAAACATCTCACTGAAAGATACTTTTTTGAGGCTCAAATTTTGAACAGCTTGTTTAGATTTATGAAATTTGTATTTTTGTGCATTTTTCACGTAAAATGATGTAACTTTTTTTAAGTTCCCTTCAGCAATAATCTGCCGAGTGTCGTCTCTGAGGAGACACCAAACTTCTGTCTGTCGCTCTAAAGCCTTCAAGATTTACAGTTTAAGGTGGAAACTTAATTTTCAGGTCTATGCTCAAAAAGTTAATAAATGAATTATAAATACAGCGTAAATATACTGTACAGGCTTCCCACACCTTGGTTAACTTCAAATTCAAGGACCTTTCATTGCATTTCAGGTCCAATAGCCTCAAATTAATGGACTTAATGTCCAACAACAAATGGTGAGGTACCATTGTAGTAGTTTCGTGCGCGCGTGAAAGTCATGGCAATGTACAACACTAAGTACCTCACTCGGGAAACCCTTGACGTAATGCGTATACGCGCGTAACTAGCGTAAATCAAGCAAGCTAGTATGCATAGGCCACGAAGTGTTGGCAAAATAACACATTAGCGGACCGGAGAGAATAATATGGATTTTTTCCCAGAAAACTTCTTGCACAAAATAAATTCAAGCACTTTCAAGGACCTGCATCTATGCATGTTTATTTTCAAAAACTTTCCAGGGCCTTGATTTTTCCCCCCAGATTCACAAACTTTCAAGGATTTCAAGGACCCGTGGGAACCCCGACCCAGTGTAGTGTGTGTGTGTGTCTGACCTTGGCCATGACCTCGGGGTCGGGCTCGGCCACCGGGTCGGCCCACTCCACGGTCACCGGGTTCCCCCACACCTTCACCTTCCCGCTCATGAGCCGGCGCCGGGCCTGGGCCGCAGACTTGTGGTCCTCGTACTCCAGAAAACAGAAGCCGCGGTTCTTCTTCTTATCGTCCGGCTGCGTGTAGAGGATCACCTCCTGCAGGCCCTCTGCGCACACACACACACACACACACACACGTCAGCCTCGGCCTCAGGACACTAGTGTTGTCACGATACCAACATTATGACTTCGATACCAGACTAAAACACCTCAATACCGATACTCCGATTCTACGGGAAAAAAACTAAAACAGAACTTGCCATTCATTTTCATACATTAATACCAGCAAGAACTCACTTGACCATTCCCTCCCCGTTATATCAATCATGTTAAGATTTGCTAACCGTTCCCAATTCTGAACTGATTGGGATGACCAAAATCTCATTTAATATTTTTTAAATGTAATTTTATACTTACAATACAGAGATTTTATTACATTTTTAATCCTTGTTATTAAGAATAAGCAAAAAATGCAAAATTTCAAACAATATGACAAAATAATCAGTGCTCCAATTTCTTTTTACAAACATTTATGTTCACTAAAGACACACGACTGCGTTCACCAGAATACTCGCCGGACGTGCTTTTTTACACAGTATTTTGACTATTCAAACCTAATAATCTGCGAAAGAGAAACGTCCCGCGCTCTATTTCCTGGTGCATGCAAGTTTTTGTCAAGCGCTACGCATCTATATTTCACGGTTGGTTTTCCGTTGTTTAGTGAATGTAAACAGTAAAAGCAGAACTCTACACACACACACACACACACACTGACTCCGTCACACAGACGCAAATAAAGAAATGCTCTTATTATTTAGAGTGCTGTCACTCTTAAAGTACCGCTACTAATAAAATATAATATCTTATTGTTTTTAATAGCAGGGTATCGCGATGCCATTCTGGCACCGGTATATGGTGTAACACACACACACACACACACACACACACACACACACACCGGTGACTTTGCCGAAGTCCTCCAGGATACTCTCCCGGGTCTTGTTCTTGGGAATGGACCCGACGAACAGACGGTTATTGGCCACGGAGATGCAGACGCCCAGGTACTTCCCCGAGCGGATCTCGTAGTTATCACACTGATGGGAAACACACACACACACACTGTAAAACCTCGACTGATTATATATGCATGTCATCCAGCAATAATCGGTGACGTTGATTTAAGACATTGTGTAAAATGTGCAAGCCTGTCGTGATCATGTTGTCTTGAGTAGAGCAGCTTCATAGTTCGCCTCATTAATGTTTGCACTGATTCTGTTAATGACTGAAGCTGCTCTGAAACGATCTGATCTGCACTGTATGATGCTTCCTGACTGTATAGCGCCGATCTGCACTGTATGATGCTTCCTGACTGTATAGCGCCGATCTGCACTGTATGATGCTTCCTGACTGTATAGCACCGATCTGCACTGTATGATGCTTCCTGACTGTATAGCGCCGATCTGCACTGTATGATGCTTCCTGACTGTATAGCGCCGATCTGCACTGTATGATGTTTCCTGACTGTATAGCACCGATCTGCACTGTATGATGCTTCCTGACTGTATAGCGCCGATCTGCACTGTATGATGCTTCCTGACTGTATAGCGCCGAGCTGCACTGTATGATGCTTCCTGACTGTATAGCACCGATCTGCACTGTATGATGCTTCCTGACTGTATAGCGCCGATCTGCACTGAATGCTTCCTGACTGTATAGCGCCGATCTGCACTGTATGCTTCCTGACTGTATAGCGCCGATCTGCACTGTATGATGCTTCCTGACTGTATAGCGCCGATCTGCACTGTATAATGCTTCCTGACTGTATAGCACCGATCTGCACTGTATGATGCTTCCTGACTGTATAGCGCCGATCTGCACTGTATGATGCTTCCTGACTGTATAGCGCCGATCTGATCTGTAAGATGCTTCCTGACTGTATAGCGCCGATCTGCACTGTATGATGCTTCCTGACTGTATAGCGCCGATCTGCACTGTATGATGCTTCCTGACTGTATAGCGCCGATCTGCACTGTATAATGCTTCCTGACTGTATAGCGCCGATCTGATCTGTAAGATGCTTTCTGACTGTATAGCGCCGATCTGCACTGTATGATGCTTCCTGACTGTATAGCGCCGATCTGCACTGTATGATGCTTCCTGACTGTATAGCGCCGATCTGATCTGTAAGATGCTTCCTGACTGTATAGCGCCGATCTGCACTGTATGATGCTTCCTGACTGTATAGCGCCGATCTGCACTGTATAATGCTTCCTGACTGTATAGCGCCGATCTGCACTGTATGATGCTTCCTGACTGTATAGCGCCGATCTGCACTGTATAATGCTTCCTGACTGTATAGCGCCAATCTGATCTGTATGATGCTTCCTGACTGTATAGCGCCGATCTGCACTGAATGCTTCCTGACTGTATAGCGCCGATCTGCACTGTATGATGCTTCCTGACTGTATAGCGCCAATCTGATCTGTATGATGCTTCCTGACTGTATAACGCCGATCTGCACTGTATAATGCTTCCTGACTGTATAGCGCCGATCTGCACTGAATGCTTCCTGACTGTATAGCGCCGATCGGCACTGTATAATGCTTCCTGACTGTATAGCGCCGATCTGATCTGTAAGATGCTTACTGACTGTATAGCGCCGATCCGCACTGTATAATGCTTCCTAACTGTATAGCGCCGATCGGCACTGTATAATGCTTCCTGACTGTATAGCGCCGATCTGATCTGTATGATGCTTCCTGACTGTATAGCGCCGATCTGCACTGAATGCTTCCTGATTGTATAGCGCCGATCTGCACTGTATGATGCTTCCTGACTGTATAGCGCAGATCTGCACTGTATGATGCTTCCTGACTGTATAGCGCCGATCTGATCTGTATGATGCTTCCTGACTGTATAACGCCGATCTGCACTGTATGATGCTTCCTGACTGTATAGCGCCGATCTGCACTGAATGCTTCCTGACTGTATAGCGCCAATCTGCACTGAATGCTTCCTGACTGTATAGCGCCAATCTGCACTGAATGCTTCCTGACTGTATAGCGCCGATCTGCACTGTATGATGCTTCCTGACTGTATAGCGCCGATCTGATCTGTATGATGCTTCCTGACTGTATAACGCCGATCTGCACTGTATGATGCTTCCTGACTGTATAGTGCTGATCTGCACTGTATGATGCTTCCTGACTGTATTTTGCCGATCTGCACTGGATGCTTCCTGACTGTATAGCGCCGATTGGCACTGTATAATGCTTCCTGACTGTATAGCGCCGATCTGATCTGTAAGATGCTTACTGACTGTATAGCGCCGATCCGCACAGTATAATGCTTCCTAACTGTATAGCGCCGATCGGCACTGTATAATGCTTCCTGACTGTATAGCGCCGATCTGATCTGTATGATGCTTCCTGACTGTATAGCGCCGATCTGCACTGTATGATGCTTCCTGACTGTATAGCGCCAATCTGATCTGTATGATGCTTCCTGACTGTATAGCGCCGATCTGCACGGTATGATGCTTCCTGACTGTATAGCACTGTGAAGTGGAGCCCAGGCGCGCACCAGTTTGACAGCTTCCAGCGCGGCGTCTTTGCCGCAGAACGTGATGAAGGCGTAGCCGCGGTTCTGCCCGGTGAGCGGATCCATCATGAGCCTTAGATCCCAGATCGCACCGGCCTTCTCAAACAGCGGAACCAGCTCGTCCTCGTACAGGTCACGCGGGATCTTACCCACAAACACCTGCGGGAACATACACACACACAGGTCAGCTCGAGCGCTCAGCACAGACAGAAGCACTGGTGTGTGCGCATGCGTGTGAATGCAGGTGTGTGTGAGAATGAGACCTCGGTGCCGATGCCGGGCTGTGGGCCGGAGAACACTTCATCTGGAGGCGGGCCGCCGTACTTCCGCTGACCCGTGGTGACGTCCAGTGTGTATCCGGTCCGGTCCAGCAGAGCCTGCGGGAGAGAACATGGGTCAGAACACGAGAACATGGGCCAGAACACGGGTCGGAACACGTGGATCGAATTAAACACTCAGTCTGTGTGATGAGGAACGGCTCTATACTGCCTCCCGACATTAGGGGTCTAACAATACACTGATCACACGTCTAGCGATACGATGCATCGATGCCTCACTTAAAATATCGATATACGGTTCCTTTATTTTGACACTCTCCACATCCTCACGTCACGTCCGTCTACGCATTTCCGCCAAAGATTTTCGTTTACTGCCCATACCATCTGCCGGCGTCTTTATAACGTTAATCTCTTCAGCTGACAAGATTGACTGAAGCCTAAACACATTTTGTAAAAGCCGGTATTGTCCACAGTCAAGCATCGCTAGGTCATGTTTCACAGCAGAAACCCTCGTTGGTGAACAACCCGATAAATCCGTTTTAGCGAATCAGCAGTATTCAGGTCAGGTGACAAGGCTGCTAGTCACTTCGAAAAGACACGCTAGCTAAGAGGAGTTTCGTCAAAGCTGGCTAAAAGTGATCGAGGATGGAACTTGATAAAGTCGTGATATCTTCTTCTACGATAACCTTTACGTTACGTAACCTTACGTTAGTGCCGCGGTGAGGGAAAAGCTCCTGTGTTGAGGCTAATCACAACAACAAAGTTAGTCATGTGTCTGTGTCAGCGGAGGAGATTAACGTTACAAAGATTAACCGAGTGTTTTATTATGCATCATAGCAATAAACTATTATGTTATGTGCTTTTGCCCAAAAAACTAACTTTTAATATATAAGAAAAATATACTTTCAATGAACTTTAATTTAGGAAGTTACCTGTATTTCTTTGAGTTATTACTTTATCAAACTGCAGATGGGCTGTTTTGATTGTTATGTTTTTGCAAATGAACTCTTCTGCTGTCCCAGATAGGAGGAGTGCACTTATCATAGAGCTTAGTTAAACGTTTGTTATATATTTTGGTTGCATTTGTGAGTTAATAAAAATGTAACTGGTTGTGTAAACTTGGCACATATCTAAATATCGATAAATCCCAGATCTGTTCTAGGTATCCACAGAGATGGTATCGCTGGCTGGGAGAGCCGACATCAGGCCGTCTTGTGCTGAACGGTGTTGGGGTTTCCGGCCCCAGTGATGCGTACCTTGATCTTGGTCTCGTCCGGGCCTTTCGTCGACTCCTGCACTTTATTGCCCTGCTTCTCCCGCTGCCGGTACGTCTTCATCACGCCACACAGGAACGCACTCTTGTTCTGCAGGCAGTGTGAGGAAAGCCAAGGTTAAACCGATAGTTCACCCAGAAATGAGAATTAGCCCATGATTTACTCTCCCTCAAGCCATCCTAGGTGTGTATGACACTCTTCTTTCAGACGAACACAAGCAGGGTTATATTAAAAATGTCCTGGCTCTTCCAAGCTTTATAATGGCAGTGAATGGGTATATTTTTTTGGAAGTCCATCAAAGTGCCTCCATCCATGATAAAAGTGCCTACATATATGGACAGGTGCACTTTTATGGACTTCCAAAAAAATATACTCTGCTTGTCGTCTGAGAGAAGAGTGTCATACACACCTAGGATGGCTTGAGGGCGAGTAAATCATGGGCTGACGGTGTGTGAGAGCAGAGATCGAGTGTTTGTTCACCTGCACAGGTGTGTGTGTGTGTGTGTGTGTGTATGTGAGATCGGGTGTTTGTTCACCTGCACAGGTGTGTGTGTGTGTGTGTGTGTGTGTGTGTTCGGGTGTTAGTTCACCTGCACGTGTGAGAGGTCCGACTCCTTGAACTGCTGCAGAACCGACAGCGCTCCCTCCTCATTAAACTCCCTCAGCGCATCTAGCGCTCGCTCGTCCAGATCCGCGTACGCCACCAGCCCTGAACACACACACACACTACGCATCAGACGCGCTCGAACCCATCACACACACCACATAAGACACGCTCGAAGTCATCACACACACACATCGAGGGCTGGGTATAGGGATGTGACGGTGAGGATATTTTCCCACTGGTTAATCGACGTGTGACAACACCAGTAATACCAGTATCCCCGGCGGGGGCTTTTAAATCGCTAATTTAAAGGCAAATGTAAGATGCGCACGTTTGCACGGGCATTTATAATGGTGCATCGTGTGGAGCAGAGCTGTTTTGTTGTTGTGCCCCGAATTGGTGCTAATTTTAAAACGAAATTAAAATGTGCACGGCCGCTCATGTCAATCTGCTCCGCTCGCTCCGCTCCGGTTAACACGTGCGGCCGTGCACATTTCAGTTTCGGTTTCAAATTAGCGCCAATTCGGGGTGGATTACTTGAATGGTTAGTTCATTAGCCTATTATTCTTAATGAAAAACACAACAAAACAGTGCAATGATAAATTCACTTAAATAGGCCCTTTTACATTTCGCGTTGACACCTAATATTCCGCAGTCACCTCGTCATTCAGATCCTTGTTCTCTGATGAGTGAAACCTGACTCCTGCTGCTGATCCGTTCAGCGACTCACTCTCGCTCTCTGATGAGTGAAACCTGACTCCTGCTGCTGATCCGTTCAGCGACTCACTCTCGCTCTCTGATGAGTGAAACCTGACTCCTGCTGCTGATCCGTTCAGCGACTCACTCTCGCTCTCTGATGAGTGAAACCTGACTCCTGCTGCTGATCCGTTCAGCGACTCACTCTCGCTCTCTGATGAGTGAAACCTGACTCCTGCTGCTGATCCGTTCAGCGACTCACTCTCGCTCTCTGATGAGTGAAACCTGACTCCTGCTGCTGATCCGTTCAGCGACTCACTCTCGCTCTCTGATGAGTGAAACCTGACTCCTGCTGCTGATCATTTCACCGACTCACTCTCGCTCTCTGATGAGTGAAACCTGACTCCTGCTGCTGATCCGTTCACCGACTCACTCTCGCTCTCTGATGAGTGAAACCTGACTCCTGCTGCTGATCCGTTCACCGACTCACTCTCGTTCTCTGATGAGGGAAACCTGACTCCTGCTGCTGATCCGTTCACCGACTCACTCTCTGATGAGGGAAACCTGACTCCTGCTGCTGATCATTTCACCGACTCACTCTCGCTCTCTGATGAGTGAAACCTGACTCCTGCTGCTGATCATTTCACCGACTCACTCTCGCTCTCTGATGAGTGAAACCTGACTCCTGCTGCTGATCCGTTCACCGACTCACTCTCGCTCTCTGATGAGGGAAACCTGACTCCTGCTGCTGATCCGTTCACCGACTCACTCTCGCTCTCTGATGAGTGAAACCTGACTCCTGCTGCTGATCCGTTCACCGACTCACTCTCGTTCTCTGATGAGGGAAACCTGACTCCTGCTGCTGATCCGTTCACCGACTCACTCTCTGATGAGGGAAACCTGACTCCTGCTGCTGATCCGTTCACCGACTCACTCTCGCTCTCTGATGAGTGAAACCTGACTCCTGCTGCTGATCCATTCACTGACTCACTCTCGTTCTCTGATGAGTGAAACCTGACTCCTGCTGCTGATCCGTTCACCGACTCACTCTCGCTCTCTGATGAGTGAAACCTGACTCCTGCTGCTGATCCGTTCACCGACTCACTCTCGCTCTCTGATGAGTGAAACCTGACTCCTGCTGCTGATCCGTTCACCGACTCACTCTCACTCTCTGATGAGTGAAACCTGACTCCTGCTGCTGATCCGTTCACCGACTCACTCTCGCTCTCTGATGAGTGAAACCTGACTCCTGCTGCTGATCCGTTCACCGACTCACTCTCGTTCTCTGATGAGTGAAACCTGACTCCTACTGCTGATCCGTTCACCGACTCGCTCTCGCTCTCTGATGAGTGAAACCTGACTCCTGCTGCTGATCCGTTCACCGACTCACTCTCGCTCTCTGATGAGTGAAACCTGACTCCTGCTGCTGATCCGTTCACCGACTCACTCTCGCTCTCTGATGAGTGAAACCTGACTCCTGCTGCTGATCCGTTCACCGACTCACTCTCGCTCTCTGATGAGTGAAACCTGACTCCTGCTGCTGATCCGTTCACCGACTCACTCTCGCTCTCTGATGAGTGAAACCTGACTCCTGCAGCTGATCCGTTCACCGACTCACTCTCGCTCTCTGATGAGGGAAACCTGACTCCTGCTGCTGATCCGTTCACCGACTCACTCTCACTCTCTGATGAGTGAAACCTGACTCCTGCAGCTGATCCGTTCACCGACTCACTCTCGCTCTCTGATGAGTGAAACCTGACTCCTGCTGCTGATCCGTTCACCGACTCACTCTCGCTCTCTGATGAGTGAAACCTGACTCCTGCTGCTGATCCGTTCACCGACTCACTCTCGCTCTCTGATGAGTGAAACCTGACTCCTGCTGCTGATCCGTTCACCGACTCACTCTCGCTCTCTGATGAGTGAAACCTGACTCCTGCTGCTGATCCGTTCACCGACTCACTCTCGCTCTCTGATGAGTGAAACCTGACTCCTGCTCCTGATCCGTTCACCGACTCACTCTCGCTCTCTGATGAGTGAAACCTGACTCCTGCTGCTGATCCGTTCACCGACTCACTCTCGCTCTCTGATGAGTGAAACCTGACTCCTGCTGCTGATCCGTTCACCGACTCACTCTCGCTCTCTGATGAGTGAAACCTGACTCCTGCTGCTGATCCGTTCACCGACTCACTCTCGCTCTCTGATGAGTGAAACCTGACTCCTGCTGCTGATCCGTTCACCGACTCACTCTCGCTCTCTGATGAGTGAAACCTGACTCCTGCTGCTGATCCGTTCACTGACTCACTCTCGTTCTCTGATGAGTGAAACCTGACTCCTGCTGCTGATCTGTTCACCGACTCACTCTCGCTCTCTGATGAGTGAAACCTGACTCCTGCTGCTGATCCGTTCACCGACTCACTCTCACTCTCTGATGAGTGAAACCTGACTCCTGCTGCTGATCTGTTCACCGACTCACTCTCGCTCTCTGATGAGTGAAACCTGACTCCTGCTGCTGATCCGTTCACCGACTCACTCTCGCTCTCTGATGAGTGAAACCTGACTCCTGCTGCTGATCCGTTCACCGACTCACTCTCGCTCTCTGATGAGTGAAACCTGACTCCTGCTGCTGATCCGTTCACCGACTCACTCTCGCTCTCTGATGAGTGAAACCTGACTCCTGCTGCTGATCCGTTCACCGACTCACTCTCGCTCTCTGATGAGTGAAACCTGACTCCTGCTGCTGATCCGTTCACCGACTCACTCTCGCTCTCTGATGAGTGAAACCTGACTCCTGCTGCTGATCCGTTCAGCGACTCATTCTCGCTCTCTGATGAGTGAAACCTGACTCCTGCTGCTGATCCGTTCAGCGACTCACTCTCGCTCTCTGATGAGTGAAACCTGACTCCTGCTGCTGATCCGTTCACCGACTCACTCTCGCTCTCTGATGAGTGAAACCTGACTCCTGCTGCTGATCCGTTCAGCGACTCACTCTCGTTCTCTGATGAGTGAAACCTGACTCCTGCTGCTGATCCGTTCACCGACTCACTCTCGCTCTCTGATGAGTGAAACCTGACTCCTGCTGCTGATCCGTTCACCGACTCACTCTCGCTCTCTGATGAGTGAAACCTGACTCCTGCTGCTGATCCGTTCACCGACTCACTCTCGCTCTCTGATGAGTGAAACCTGACTCCTGCTGCTGATCCGTTCAGCGACTCATTCTCGCTCTCTGATGAGTGAAACCTGACTCCTGCTGCTGATCCGTTCACCGACTCACTCTCGCTCTCTGATGAGTGAAACCTGACTCCTGCTGCTGATCCGTTCACCGACTCACTCTCGTTCTCTGATGAGGGAAACCTGACTCCTGCTGCTGATCCGTTCACCGACTCACTCTCGCTTTCTGATGAGGGAAACCTGACTCCTGCTGCTGATCCGTTCACCGACTCACTCTCGCTCTCTGATGAGTGAAACCTGACTCCTGCTCCTGATCCGTTCACCGACTCACTCTCGCTCTCTGATGAGTGAAACCTGACTCCTGCTAATGATCCGTTCACCGACTCACTCTCGCTCTCTGATGAGTGAAACCTGACTCCTGCTAATGATCCGTTCACCGACTCACTCTCGCTCTCTGATGAGTGAAACCTGACTCCTGCTGCTGATCCGTTCACCGACTCACTCTCGCTCTCTGATGAGTGAAACCTGACTCCTGCTGCTGATCCGTTCACCGACTCACTCTCTGATGAGTGAAACCTGACTCCTGCTGCTGATCCGTTCACCGACTCACTCTCGCTCTCTGATGAGTGAAACCTGACTCCTGCTGCTGATCCGTTCACCGACTCACTCTCGCTCTCTGATGAGTGAAACCTGACTCCTGCTAATGATCCGTTCACCGACTCACTCTCGTTCTCTGATGAGTGAAACCTGACTCCTGCTAATGATCCGTTCACCGACTCACTCTCGCTCTCTGATGAGTGAAACCTGACTCCTGCTCCTGATCCGTTCACCGACTCACTCTCGCTCTCTGATGAGTGAAACCTGACTCCTGCTAATGATCCGTTCACCGACTCACTCTCGCTCTCTGATGAGTGAAACCTGACTCCTGCTGCTGATCCGTTCACCGACTCACTCTCACTCTCTGATGAGTGAAACCTGACTCCTGCTGCTGATCCGTTCACCGACTCACTCTCGCTCTCTGATGAGTGAAACCTGACTCCTGCTGCTGATCCGTTCACCGACTCACTCTCGCTCTCTGATGAGTGAAACCTGACTCCTGCTGCTGATCCGTTCACCGACTCACTCTCGCTCTCTGATGAGTGAAACCTGACTCCTGCTGCTGATCCGTTCACCGACTCTCTCGCTCTCTGATGAGTGAAACCTGACTCCTGCTGCTGATCCGTTCACCGACTCACTCTCGCTCTCTGATGAGTGAAACCTGACTCCTGCTGCTGATCCGTTCACCGACTCACTCTCGCTCTCTGATGAGGGAAACCTGACTCCTGCTGCTGATCCGTTCACCGACTCACTCTCGCTCTCTGATGAGGGAAACCTGACTCCTGCTGCTGATCCGTTCACCGACTCACTCTCGCTCTCTGATGAGTGAAACCTGACTCCTGCTGCTGATCCGTTCACCGACTCACTCTCGCTCTCTGATGAGGGAAACCTGACTCCTGCTGCTGATCCGTTCACCGACTCACTCTCGCTCTCTGATGAGGGAAACCTGACTCCTGCTGCTGATCCGTTCACCGACTCACTCTCGCTCTCTGATGAGTGAAACCTGACTCCTGCTGCTGATCCGTTCAGCGACTCACTCTCGCTCTCTGATGAGTGAAACCTGACTCCTGCTGCTGATCCGTTCACCGACTCACTCTCGCTCTCTGATGAGTGAAACCTGACTCCTGCTGCTGATCCGTTCACCGACTCTCTCGCTCTCTGATGAGTGAAACCTGACTCCTGCTGCTGATCCGTTCACCGACTCTCTCACTCTCTGATGAGGGAAACCTGACTCCTGCTGCTGATCCGTTCACCGACTCACTCTCGCTCTCTGATGAGTGAAACCTGACTCCTGCTGCTGATCCGTTCACCGACTCACTCTCGCTCTCTGATGAGTGAAACCTGACTCCTGCTGCTGATCCGTTCACCGACTCACTCTCACTCTCTGATGAGTGAAACCTGACTCCTGCTGCTGATCTGTTCACCGACTCACTCTCGCTCTCTGATGAGTGAAACCTGACTCCTGCTGCTGATGCGTTCACCGACTCACTCTCGCTCTCTGATGAGTGAAACCTGACTCCTGCTCCTGATCCGTTCACCGACTCACTCTCGTTCGCCGAACGGTTTATTAAGCAGACACGTTCAGTTTAATAGTGTCTGTTCTCTAACTGAACTAAATTATTTTATAAAAAAAAAAAATCTAATCGCCAGTGGGGGGCGGTGCAGCGGTGGGCAAGAGATGTAACCTCTTCTGTGTTGTATGTCACACGCATGACCAACGTCGGCCAATCGTGAGCCTCCGTGTGACGTACATCAGAAGCGCTGCGCTGTTACACTACGTGAACTCACCCGAGGCCCACAGAGAAGCAAATGAAGAGTTGAATAAAGTCGTTATTTTTTTTCGTTTTTTTGCGCACAAAAAGTATTCTCGTCGCTTGATAAACTTAAGGTTGAGCCACTGCAGTCACTCTGACTATTTTAACGGTGTCTTTAATAACTTTTCTGGGCCGGCCACTTTCAGGGTGTACTCACACTAGCCAGTTTGAACCGTGCCCGAGTGCGTTTGACCACCAAAGCGCGGTTCGTTTGACTAGTGTGAGTGCTCCGAACCGTGCCCGGGCGTGGCTCGATTAGCCGGCCCTGGCCCGCTTGGAAGAGGTGGGCCAGAGCACGGTTCAGTTGGACTCGGGCGCGGTTCGCATGCAGTGTGAGCGCTAACCACAGGACGCGTGACGTCATGGTTTTGCGACGCTCCAAAACCAACACAGTCCGTAATCAAAGCTGCAAAGTCCTTGCTGCACTTCAGCTGGTACCTTGCAAACCTCCTCATACGAGCAGCACGATTACGTGAAAATTTTTGCGCCACTAAGGCGACGCATCTGTTTAACAACAGGCTGTGAGAGGGCTGTGGACCACCGTGGACCACACGACACAAAATTATCCACAAAGAAAACAGAGCGATGGACACACACACACACACACACAGCCCTACACACACACCTACACCAGGGTTCCTGCACACTTTTGAAAGTCAAATTTAAGGCTTTTTAAGACCTTTTTAAGACCTGAAGAAATCAAAATTAATAC